ATCCTCCTCCCTCGCACTTGTCTTGCCCAACTCAAGCCAACTATCTACCAACGCGTATCAGTTTTCACTGCAGTTTAACTTTTCTGTTTGGACCGAGCGAGCACGTTGTGTGTGTTGCAGTGGTGAAATCTAGAAGTGGTCTTATTTACCCAATAATTAACATCCGGTATTGTTAGACCTGCCAACATGTGAGATTAATTCAGAGTTGCTGGTGGCTGATTACGGTTCAGGCTGCCCTACCATTATGGGAATATCTGTGACGGTACTTCAGGCTTTGGACCGTACTCGTGAAAGCAAAGCAAATGAGATGATATTCTTGGGTCTGTCGGTAAAGTCATGTAGATAGGTTCAAAGAAAATAATCTAAAATATTATTTTCCTTTTTCCTGAAGACGACCACCTGCATTGCGATTGAAACGTCGTAGTTTTCTGTCATTTTTGGTTATTTTCTTTGAACTTATCTACGTGACTTTACCGAAAGATCCAAGAATATGAATTCCTGCAGTCACGAAGTCAAATGAGATCAGTCTTACACTTCACCGATATGCCTTATGTGCCCTTATCCCTGTATACAAACATACTGTTACAGTTTTTTTTTTATATTTTACGAGGTAAGACCCACTGAGCGATAAAGCTCTTTATCAGAAGCGACCTGGCAAAATTATAGCACAACGAAGCGGCTGATTACGTGGAAATTTATAGCAGCCAGATACCCGAAACACACGTTTCTCAATGTGGAAGGAAAACTGGAGGAACCAGAAAAAACATCCATGCGACCACGGAGAGAGACAAGCAAACTCCAAATATACATGCGTTAAAGTCAGGACCCACAAACTCCCGCATACCAGGCCAGGAAGTTAACAACTCGCAACGTCTTGTAGCCTTGCCTGAATATCCATGATTTTTGAGTCCATGATTGAACTTTGTCAGGGTTTTCTCACCCTTGTTTAATTGTAAATGGCTAAATTAGCTCACAGCAAATACCAGTGTAATAAAAGACTCCGTAAGGCGATGCTGGTCTCCGTTTGTCTTTTATTCAGATTCTTCTCCGCACCCCCACTGGCCTCCTCTCGGACCAGTGTCGTCTCGCGCGTTCCCCGCGCACGCTCCCTCTCACGTACCACGCACGCTCTCTCTCTCGCGTGCTACGCACGCTCTCTCTCTCGCGTGCCCCGCACGCTCCTCCGTTAGCTCCTCTATTCCCGCACTCCGCTTGCCGACGGCGTGCTGAGGTCCTTCGGCCACGTGGCCGATGGCGCGGATCTTTCCTCACCACCCAACGTGGCTCAGCCTCTTAACTTCCCCGACTGCACCGATCTTTTCCGGGCTCCCACTCATATACATTCCCCCCACGTGACCCTGACTCCTCCCCTTCCGGATCGTCAGATCCGGCCTTCCCATACTACCCCGCTGGCTCCGCCCCCATTCACCTCGCCTCCCATTGGAGCCGAGGTGAACGGTGGCCCCTCCCACACGCCCCGAAGACCAAGCTCCGCCCCCCAATGCCCCGGGCCGGGGGATTGGACCAGAGGCCAGCAACAACCCCATTTACGCTCGCATTACACCAGTGACAATTATTTGAACCGGTCCTGGGCCTCATGAGTACCTGGTGTGGTGTGTAAACATCGCCACTGGAGAGACAAAGGCGGCTGGGTATGGCTTAACCTGACACCAAAACACCCGAGTGAAAAAAAGACGCCAGACAGGTCTTGTAAATTATGGTTCATATTCAACAAAATCAAAACGAACACGTTCTGAAAATAAAACGCAAAAAATGGAGAAATCGATTACAAATTTCCACCACTGTATCTGAAAGCGATTATATACAATTCCTTTCAGATTATTCATTAAACTAGTGGGCCTGTGGCCACATTTGAGGTATTAAATGGTTCCCTGTTATACTTATTTGATTAGAGTTGTATTATGTCATGCTCACTTCCTTACTTCAACAGCGAGATATTTCTTTTTGACTTAAAGCATTCTTGACTGCAGGAATTCATATTCTTTGGGTCTTTCAGTAAAGTCACGTAGATAGGTTCAAAAATGTAAAAGTACATTTATTAATGATTAATAAAAAATTTATTTAAAAAATCCTTCATTTAAATTTGTTTTAACCTATCTTCGTTTCTTTACCGAAAGACCCAATTAATATTAAACAGCGAGGTTCATGGATTGACAGCCTCACCCACCACTCTAGGCCCCACCCCTTCCCTTGTAGGCCCCGCCTCCTCCAGACGCACGTTTTGTCTTTTGTCACGGATTTTTAAAGGCAGTGCCACTTTCCCTGTTCCCCGCCAAGCTGGTCTGAGCGAGATAACGTGAGCGTGGTCGTGGTGCGGTTTGCAGAAAGGTGGGGTGGGGGGGGGTATAGTCTATTTTATTGTCAAAATATATACAAACCTAATGTTGTGGTACATCGGTGCGTATTTTTGTTATCTACACGCTTTTTAGTAACTGTGTTGTTGTATCCTCAAATCTTGTAACTCAATTTTAACTCACTTCCCAACGTGGTATCGACTGCAAACTTGGTATACGTATGTCATACTGATGACAATACTATATTATATCATGAAAATTTCATATTTTTAAACGTTCTTTTTTATATGTTATGTTTCGGCTTGGGTCTACAGTAATTGTCCACGCTCAACTGACGTTGGCTCTAAATGACCACGGCCCTTTACGTTATGGCAAGCTTCGGGGCCACTTCGTCGTGGAATTCTGCCATTACGAATACGGTACATATCATTAAATCGTGTTTTTTTTAAGTTATTTAAAAATATATTTAAGTTCTACATATATCAATTGCTGCTGAAATACACTGGTTTGCAAGGAATATGAGATAATTGACTTAAATGCTATATATATTTAAATATTTGTCAATGAAACAAATTCTGCCAATTCGTGTATTAATGAATATGCACCATTCAGCAAACACAATTGTAAATGTTAAACTAGTTCCCAGAAAGAAAAAAACCCCACATGAATGATGCAGATATTCCCTTTGTTTTCTTGGTCACCGTTATAATCTCATTGTTGACACCGCATTACGCAATACTGCCACTCTGAAAACTACAGCCAGCCGGTAGGGCCCTAATGCTATCCCTCGCAGAACCCCATCATGTATCCCCTTTATCCACACAAGATTACCCAGCACGTCCCTTACCACGCACACTACTGCACCTCTTTAGCCCTCAAAACTAATTCTGGTTGACAGCCAGCCCTATTTTTCACAGAAGCAGTATTCAGCAATACTATTTGAACATACATTGCGTCTAAATACAAGACCATCTCAGGATGATGTACAAGGCAGCCATATGAAGGTAAACAGTACGCACAAAATTAACATCGAACAACATAAAAAAATAAACCACGACTTGGGCAGATGGATCAGCGGCCATGAATACGTCACGCAGACGCCATGCCACGCAACCTGTATCCCCACACTCTTGATGAACGTACTGTGAATTTGTTTATGATATCCTTTTACTCGCGATTCCTAGACCACACAACCCGAGTCTTCGGGGTGAGGCGCAGTCCTTGCTGAATGAAACGCCCAAACACGTGGAACATTCTCACGCATTTGATGGATGGAAATTCAATGCTGCATTTGGCAGTGGTGCGTAAGCTCAATTAACTCACGTTTGTCAAGAACGTGATCTTAAAATGGCTCTTCTTCATAGCACATACATAGCGAAGCCAGAGAGACAGTAGACAAAAGTTGAAGACTGTTCTCTATACCAAGGAGCCTGATGAGAATAAAACACCTACACTCAATGGGACATTTCCACACTGATTGAAGGCAATTGCTTAATGTATGTAGATACATCGCAAGTTACCCATTTAAGTAATTTGCATAAAATCTATAAAAACGAATACAAATACGAGGCACATGTTAACAGATTAAACAGAAGGATACATTGACAACATTGCAGGCCAGTGTTTCAGATCATGCGAGTGCACGCTGTTAGTGGAGAACATCTGCATGGTAGGATTCACTGTGTGCCACCTGCAGAAGCCAAGACCCAGATTGGATTACAAGAGGCCGGTGATCGGACGGAACTTATTCAATAATCCCTGATATACAAGTAGATACGTGCGGATTAAATAACGCAGGGTGCGTCGTTGGGTTGGAGGTTGTGGGCATTTTAGCACCAGCCCCACACCTGCGAAATCAATTTTTCGATTTTAAGCTTTCGTGACTGCAGGGATTCATCTTCTTGGTTCTTCACCTGAGGACAGCTGCTTGCGTTGTGTCCGAAACGTCGTGAGAATTCTTTTATTACGTTTATTTTTATTATTTTATTATTTCCCTTCTATGTAACTTTACCGAAAGAACCAAGAAGCTGTGAAATCAAGTTTGAAGTTGTGGGTAGAGACAGTGGCCGATTGGCTAGAACCTTCCAGAGGTTTCCAAACTTGGATAGGGTTCCATGGTGGGGGGGGGGGGGGGGGCTCATTAGAAGCATAAGATGGTTAAGGTTAAGAGGCAGAGTCTCCTTAAACAGGTTTAAGGGGCACAGAGTGAGCCCAGTCTGGGGTGTGAACTCCATCAACATGGAACGTTGGGCCAATGTTGGACCAACGTTGATCCATCGGTTAGAGCCACACGCCAATGCTGGCCTCCCTTGAATGGTTACTGGGAAGAGGGAAGCTCTGCATTGAGACAATATTTAGAAGTGTACTCGTGCGTAGTAGTGGGTTGTTTCAACGCTGAGGTTTTATATTTTTAGACTCGTTGACATTTCCCTGTAGTTACAGTAGTTTAGTACATGTGTCTTTATAATTAGATATATTTTCAAGCATAGTGTTAGTTTTTGGAAAAAAAGTTAGGCTTGTATATTGCAGACTGTAAATTAAGCTTCGTTTGGACAACATATTTACCTCCTCCATCCACCAAAATGCGACTAATTTGTATTTGTATCTGAATATGGAAGACTGGTGAATGTGGAAAGATGCATCGTTGTTAGGACACAAGCAATTGATAATAGGATTCCGTGTCACATAATTACGCAAACTCCGTCATCCTCTGGAGGCGTTGGCACCCGTCTAATGACCTTCACTCTCTTCGGGTTCCAGATGCAGTCTTCCTCCAGCCCACTGGATACCATCCCACAGTTGGGTGGCACCCACGCGGTGTTGTAGCCTTTATCATGCCACGTCTTCTGCAACGGGTGGCCTTGTCTGTCGATCTTCTTCACTCTTCCCACACGCACTTCGACCTGCAGAACCACCCTCTCGTGACGCGGTAGGTCTAACGGGTACCTACTGGCCTTATTAATGTCCCGGCTCACGTACACCCCGGGGCCCAGCATGCCATCAGTGGACTGTTTGAAGCCCTTCGCGATGATGGCTCTGGCCCCATCCTCGCTGGTGCCGTGGAACATGGTGTACACGCTGCCGTTCTGCGGGGTTGCGCCTGCTGCAAGCTGCATGTCTGTACATGAGACCCTCACGCGAAACATCTACGGGCATAGAAAGCACAATCATACACTTGTATAACTGTAAACAAGTCACGTGAAACGTATTTGTTTAAAAGTTCTCTATGGCTTTAATGGTGATAATAACAATACACAGCTCTTTATCAAGACACTGCTGGGATGAAGGCCTTACCACACTGTGTCCGCCCCCTCCTGTGAAAATTTCCTGACTTGTTTGGGAAGTTGGGATTGTGGTCTGGGATGTGACATTGGACTAATTTATTTGTTGTAATTACTTTAATGTTGTTTGTGCACATCTTAATTTGTGTTTTCATTTGTGCACACATTAATTTGTTCATTGATGTTGGATTTTGCTTGGTAGTTAGGTTTCATTTGCTTGGTAGTGGCTGTATATGAGATTTGGTCCTGATAGATAGCATTATTCATGCTATTAGCAGGCGCTGGCTCCCTTCCTCTGCTCTGGCGACGGTGTCAGGCCGGTGGTGGCCCACGACACGCGGGGTGGTCGAGCTTCACCTGGAGTCGGGGTGTTACAAATGTAGTCCAAAACAGGTGGTTAACGCCATCTAAGGCTAAACGTGCTTTATTTTAAGGGTGTGAGTGTTTGGGAACGGTGTAGGCTTAGGTGTGTCCGGATAGAGGGGTCCCGTTTCTGTAAGATATTGTGAGTGCACCCTAGTGTTCTAGAGATATGCTACTGCGTGAGAAACTGGCAGGGTGGCTTATCTAATAATGAAGGCAAACCAAACCCTATTGGATTGTCTCAGATGCGCATGGTCTTGATTGCTCTCGCTAGACTTGACGCACAATATACGCCGGAGTGACCTGGCTGACCGAAAATAGAATGGTGACGCCGATGAAAGTGAACCTGTGAACAGCAGACAAGAGCCAAAGCGCCGCCGCCACGTGCTCCGTCTTCCATAACTGCCCTCGGATTAAATATTCTGCTGTTTTCCAGTTACGTCTTTCTAAAATATATCTCCATTTGGTTTGAGGAATTCTCTTCTTGACCACAGTTATTTTCTGTTTGCCAAACATAGACCCCCCCCCATTTGAAGGAGCATCTGCACCAGTATTAAACATTCAGGCAGTCCTATGTGGTTTAACCCAGCTGGATTGTGTGAGGAGCTCAGATCTTTAAAAGTTGTGGACATAGTCCCATCGGTGAGCTCCTTCGACAGGCTAGGCTGTCGAGTCATCATATGCCAAGGGAGCTAAATGGGCGGTGCATGGATTAGAGAATAGATAGGGTTGATGCAGTACAGAAGCATGAAGCATGTGGATCTGATTGACTTGCTGATGACTCGTATCAGCGGTGTCAATATCGGCCCACAACAATATTTGATCTACCGTACGGATAAACAGTTTGAAGTGGCAGAGTGGGGAGCACATCGGTCAGTCATTTCAGTCAATACATAATACCTGGGTTTGTCCCGTGAACTTCTGCAAGCAGGGATCCTTCGACACTTCATGCGGCCCTTAAAGTGAACCTCGCCAGGCATGCGTTGTGGTTATGTCTCTGCCACCTAGTGGCCAATGGTGGCTGTTTGTTCTGGACATGCATTGAAGGAACGATGCCCGTTATATTTGGGAACTTTGTTTCAATCTAGGTTCTGTGTTTTTTGTGGCTTTGTTTTCAGTTCAGCTTTTGGACCGCAACGTCATTTCCGAAAATGGTACCATTTTCGTTGGTTTCATTTAATTAATTTGATTATATTTGTTTACTTTTGCCCAATTTATTTAATTTTAATTATTGTTATGATATGGTGATATCAACTGCAGTCAATTGTATACGTTATTTGGATACATTAAATGTTAATATTCTATATACAGGGCAATATAGAGCAACATGCAGATCGTTGCTATTCTAAATTGATTTAAAATCTGAAATTAATGACTGCAATATGTAAGTATTAACTTATTTCGCACCATACGTAAATCACAGTACAACTAGTACGGGGAAATAAAGTAATTTTAGCTCGAGAAACAAATGGCAGTCACAATTTTCTGCATCGGTTTCACTTCATTTCTACTTAATAAACATCCAGTACGTGTTGGGTGACTTTTGAGGGGCACAGTGGTGGCGATGTTAACTACCTCGCCTGGTATACAGGAGGTCGTGGGTTCGACCCTGACCCTGACGCCTGCTGCTGTATATTTGGAGTTTGCGTGTCTCTCTCTCTCATCATCATCACGGTGGCTAGGAGATGTTAACTACCTCGCCTGGTATGCAGGAGGTCGTGGGTTCGACCCTGTGACGCCTGCTGCTGTATATTTGGCGTTTGTGTGTCTTTTTCGTCCGTGTTCGTGTGGGTTTTTCTCCAGCCCCTCCGGGTTTTCCCTCATTTATAAACGTGCGTTTACAGCATTTGGCTGCTATAAATGTTCACCACGATATACGACTTCATTGAGTGGTATAATTTGTGATAGCAAGGTCGTTTCTAGAAAATAGCTATAGAGCTCAGTGGGGCTTGCTTGGTTTAAAAAAAAACAAGTGTTCTAGTTTTTAGAGTGCTGTATTAAAGGGTTTAATATATATTTTTAAATAAACACGTTTTTGTACCAACTTTGGCAAACGAATAGCAAAACACTCACCAGTTGGATGTAGTTGCTGCTTCAGCTGTCAACAGACGCTTGTGCAGAGGAGAATATGAGGAAGCTGGTGCAGTTTCAGTGCTTGCAGGGACCTGGCACGGGACGACATTAAACAGTACAGCCAGTAGAGGGGAAAACAAGTATTTTTAGCTACGAGATAAAAATGGCTGTCACAATTTTCTAAACCTCATTTCTACTTCATAGACATTCAATGCTGTTTGGGTGACTGAGGGGCAACGCGGGTTCGATCCTGACCCTGACGCCTGCTGCTGTATATTTGGAGTTTGCGTGTCTCTCTCTCATCATCATCACGGTGGCTAGGAGATGTTAACTACCTCGCCTGGTATACAGGAGGTCGTGGGTTCGATCCCGATCCTGACGCCTGCTGCTGTATATTTGGAGTTTGCGTGTCTCTCTCTCTCATCATCATCACGGGGGCTAGGAGATGTTAACTACCTCGCCTGGTATACAGGAGGTCGTGGGTTCGATCCCGACCCTGACGCCTGCTGTGTATTTGGAATTTGCGTGTCTCTCTCTCTCATCATCATCACGGTGACTAGGATATGTTAACTTCCTCGCCTGCTAGACAGGAGGTCGTGGGTTCGATCCCGACCCTGACGCCTGCTGCTGTATCTTTGGAGTTTGCGTGTCTCTCTCTCATCATCATCACGGTGGCTAGGAGATGTTAACTACCTCGCCTGGTATACAGGAGGTCGTGGGTTCGATCCCGATCCTGACGCCTGCTGCTGTATATTTGGAGTTTGCGTGTCTCTCTCTCATCATCATCACGGTGGCTAGGAGATGTTTACTACCTCGCCTGCTAGACAGGAGGTCGTGGGTTCGATTCCGACCCTGACGCCTGCTGCTGTATAGTTGGAGTTTGCGTGTCTTTCTCCCCGTGGTCGCGTGGATTTTTCTCCCGGCCCCTCCGGGTTTTCCCTACACATTTTAGAAACGCGAGTTTACAGTATTTGGCTGCTATAAATGTCCACGTGATAAGTCACTTCTTTTGGGCTATAAATATTATTCGTGGTCAGGTCGCGTCTGAAAACGAGCTATGTAGCTCAGGTGGCCTTGGTAAAACACAAACTATATTGTTAAATACACACGTTTTTACCAACTTCGAGACTTGAAAAGCAAAACACTCACCAGTTGGGATGTACTTGCTGCTTCTGCTGCTGACGGGCGCTTGTGCAGATGAGGAAATGAGGAAGCTTGTGCACTTTCAGCACTCCTTATATGCCGGAAACCTTGCGAGGCGGGAGGGGATTGCTTGTAACGTCACGAAAAGCATCATTTCCACGCAGAGGCGTAACAAACCTGGGAGGCGCAGGGAATTCCGGGAAATTCCGCAGAATTCCTTTTGAAAAGCCATTGTTGAAACTGGCTGTCTTTTTTTTATTCCCTTTGCATGTCTTGGCTACGCTCTGGTAAACGCAGCATGAATGTTACAAATATAAGCACACAATATATCTCCTTTACATATCTACTTTCACCACGTATAATGTCGATAAAAAAACACCTTTTAACATTTACTGTAAAACTACGTTGCCTTCTGCGAGTGCACAATATCCGTTGAAACAGGATTGGGCCGGTGCTGCTTACTGTACATTGCGTACTGCCAAAAGTCCTTACAATGTATGGGAATTGTCAAGCGTACTTGTTTATGTGGAGGGACAGACATGCAAAGGAGACGTGGTGTTTGCTTATGTATTTTGTTAGTCATTCTCCACGACAACACTAATGATGATTTTTTGTTGTTGAGTTTTGTGTGAAGTCACAACACGCATTTATCCCGGGATCATGCTCATAACATTAAACCGTGAGTGAAGTCACTTTAAGTCCAATAGAAAAACGGAAGTTGGCCACGTTATTTTATTATTAGAGTGTTACCATATAAGCTGTACTTTTGACCTTTATTTTTAAATAAGTATGTTCAATATGTAGGGTATTGCAATGTGTTCTCCTTAGGTATGTAGGTCATCTCTGGCCAATCTCTGGTTTCCTCCAAACACAATACTGAAAAAAATATATAACAGTCCCCACATATTTGAAATAGTTGTCCCTCTGTAATTAAGTCCAGAGACTCGTTTGAGTCATTTCCTGAAGAACCAACGAATACGATTAAGGGTGGTGTTGCACTTGCCGGCGGCACTAGACATGAACAAACCAAGCAAAAGGCCGAGAGGCCTCAAGAAGATCACGGGGTTCCACATTCGTGACCAACAACATTGTGGATGCGTCAAAGATCAGCTTTAAACTCGCATCCCAATAAACACAACAAACTCAATCGCGAAACATTAACAATGATCAGTTTAACACGTAGGCTTTCGCGACCAATATTATTCATAATCAACGTTTTTGGGTTTAGATCGCGTTATTTATAAATGTGTCGTAACTCTCCACCACCCGACACGGCCAATCAGTAAAAAAGTGTCACGTTGACAAAGGACAATTAGTTCACTGCTTTAGCCCACCGGTGTGTTGAAGCGTGAAACCACAACAATTTACAATTGTTTGGCCGTGTCGGGTGGTGGAGGGTTACGACACATTTATAAATAACGCGATCTAAACCCAAAAACGTTGATTATGATTAACAATGATATTTCACATACTAAAGTGGCGAGACTTTGCGCATGTTGTTGTTGTCGTCGTCTGTTTTTATTATTACACGCTTTTATTTAACTCACTCTGTCTGTTGTCGTATCCACAAAAAATATTGCAATTAAATTTTTACCCACTTCCCAATGTGCTATCGACTGCAAACTTGGTATGCTTATGTCATACTGATGACAAGACTATATTCTATCATTAAAAACAAAATCTAAAACATAAATTTTAAAACATTCTTTTACACGATTTAAAGCTTTCGTGACTGCAGGGATTCATATTCTTGGTTCTTTCGGTAAAGTCACGTAGAAGGGAAATAATAAAATAATACAAATATGAAACAATAAAATACAATTCTCACGACGTTTCGGCCACAACACAAGCAGCCGTCCTCAGGTGAAGAACAGAGCTGTCGGAAAGACAGCGTCCCAATTTTTATTATTTTATTATTCCCCTTCTACGTGACTTTACCGAAAGAACCAATAATATTCTTTTACACACTTTTGATAAACTCACTCTGTCTGTTGTCGTATCCTCAAATCTTGTAACTCAATTTTAACCCACTTCCCAATGTCGTATCGACTGCAAACTTGGTATACATATGTCATACTGGTGACAATACTATATTCTATCATTAAAATAAAAAATAAATATTTGAAAATTATATTTTTTATATATGTTATGTTTCACCTTGGGTCTAATTGTCCACGCGCAACTCACGTTGGCTGTAAATCACCACGACCCCTTACGTTGTGGCAAGCCTCGGGGACACTTCCTGGAGTCGTGGAGTTCTGCCATTACTCGTACGGTACATTTCACATTTCATTAAAGCGAGTTTAAAAAAGAAAAGTGTTTTTAAATATTACTTATTTTCATGCCATGAGGAAAGCGACAGTCCGATTAGCACTCGCGCAGTGCGAAGACACCTCGCGTTCGTCGAGAACGGGGAGGCATGTCCCTCCGTTCGCTCGACGAGTGAAAAACAATCTATCTGGTATTACTGGTTCTTTCGGTAAAGTCACGTAGAAGGGAAATAATAAAATAATAACTATTAAACAATAACTTTTTCTTGTTTATTTTATTGCTTTATTTTTATAATTTCCCTTCTACGTGACTCTACCGAAAGAACCAAGAATATGAATCCCTGCAGTCACGAAAGCTTTAAATCGAAATCTATCTGGTATTGGCCAAATATTTCAATGCTGAAAATTGTATTTCCTGGGTAAACAAGCGTCATATTAAAATGCAATCTCTGTAACTGTATGCGTGTTTTTTCTGTCCCTCAGTGATCTCATGCGCTCGTTGTGATCTCGCCACGAGGCTTGCTGTGCTACCCCACGAGGCTTGGGCAGAGATCGCAACCGGGTGCCCGATACCCGTACCCTACCCAATACCTGGCAGGGTACGAGTACCCGTTTGCGACCCTGGTGCGGCCGGGTACGGGTAAGGAATCAAAACCCATTTGCGACCTCTGGGCTTGGGTGTTGCCAACTTTCTCGACGACGCAAGTTTCACGTGGTGCATTTTTTTTGCTCGATCGTTGGCAACTGGTACTTGGAGCTTTCGACTCGCCACACTCGAAATCGTGAACAGCTGAAGCTGGGATTTAAACGTCAGTTCGTGGCAGTGCCAGCTCCGTGTCTTTAATCAGCAAGGTATCAATACACTTGTAGCATACTTATTATGCATTGTGAATCTCACATTGTGGCGTATGGGTGTAAAACATATAAAACGGAGTACTCTGTTAGGAATTTCAAAGTTTTATTTTCATCAACAATGATCAATGCAAATCGAACTACGAGAAATGATTACAGTTCAAAAAAACCTGCTTTTTAACGCATTGGGATTGGACACTGCATGCCACACGTGAGCAACACGAATGAAGCAAAAGTGACTCGTGCAGGTAATTCGCGTTTGTCAATAACATAAAATGAAAACGCGCAAAAGCACCATTGTGTGTGGGGATGGAGGGAGGAGGGTTGCGCGTTAGGGGCCTGCAGCCCACGGCGGTGTTGGGACGCACAGGCGCGATCGAATCCTGGGTTACAGACAGACGGCATCGTTGGAGAAAGGCAACGGTGAGAATGGTGGCGACCGCGTGCGTGTACCGCTCAAAGCTGCCGTTTTCGTTTCGTGGCCATGAATGTTTCGTCCATTCATTGGGTGATGATTGTGCAGGCGGCGGGGATGGAACTGGTGGCGCGCTGGGCCCTACCCGCAAGAAGTCGCCACTTTTGCCCGTCTCGACGTCTCTGCTCCCCTACAGATGGCGCGCGTTACGTTGGGCAGCGAGAGAGACACTGCCGCCGCTGATGATGATGCTGCCGCTGATGATGCTGCTGCTGGGATCTTTTGACTTGGGCGTTAGATACCCAAACGGTGGAAACTGCCTGGTTGGTGTCAAAGGCAATTTTTTGTTTAAAAACAAATATATAAAATCACTGTTAGTTCAGCGTGTTTTATTCAAGTCACGTGGCATAGGTGTTGTAACTCAATGTGCTCTAGAAATGTCCCAGGATTAAAATGAAATGTAAAAGGCTGGATATTTTACAGGCACCCGTATAAATCTTCCCTGCTGCTGCGTTCTTTATCAGTGCGTGGTAAGGTATTTCACAGAGCAGTGAAAACATTTGAATGAGAGCTCGCATACACACACCTCCTCTGCCCCCAGGGTATTCAAAACCCACTCAAAATACTATCCGTTGTTTGAAAACTTGATTTGGTTAAATAGTTTTTTTTTAATTTCATTCACAAGAACTTAAACAATGTAGATTTAACAATGAATATAATTACTTTTTTTTAAAAAGTCTAATTATATGTTAAGATTTTGTTTCCAAACAAATGATATCTGAATAAGAAAATAATTATTTTCTTAATAAAAAATTAGCACAATTTTAACAATGTAAAGTTTTTTTTTTCACAGCATAGATGTGTGTTTGTGTGTACATGTACGTGCAGATGCGAGTAAGACGTACAAAGAAAAATATGCCCCCGATAGCTTTTACAGACTTGGGACAGGTGCTGTTAGCGAGCACCTGTGAAGTCGGCCAACGCGGCACACGAGGGGGTGGGCGGCGAGCAGCACGCCACTTCACCTGTCTCCCCCCAGCGGTGATGTTTACACGCATCACCAGGTTCTAATTTAAGGCCGAGTCAACCTAAGAGAGGCCCAGCACCAGTTCAGATATCCATCAACGATAATGGCCGTGAGCGGGAATTCAACTCTGGCCACCGGGTTCGTAGTGCAGTGCGCGAACCGCTGTGCTACTGCTGTGTTTTGTCACACGCAGCGCGTAATGGCTCACGCACAACGATACGAACCCAGGAAACAGATCAATTCCCACTCACATCCACCATCAGTGGCGAATATCTGAACTGGTCATGTGCCTCCCCTTGTACTGACTCGGTCTTAAACGAGTACCTGGTGCGGTCTGTATACATCTACGCTGGGGAGGAGAATGGTGGCTGGACGTGATGCTCGCCACATCAACTCGACGTGCACGGAGTAGGCCTTAATAGGTGCTCTCTAACTCCACTTGCTCCAACAGTTTAGTCGGACTCCAAGGGGGATCTGCCATGTGTCAAAGGATGTGCGTGATTTCACATGTTTGCTTTCTGTGTGTATGCATAGATTTGTATGTGTAGGTGTGTGTGAATCTGTGTACTGCACGTGTCTGTGAGTACGTATTTTATGCACAGTATAATCGCGCCCCCTTCAGTTGCATAACGGTGTATCTAGGCTTTCACGTTACTATTCTTGCTCCATGCTGCTTGCACATCCTCCAGGGATTAGCGACCTGTGGGGGGGGGGGGGGGGAAGTAATCCTGTTACATTAGTACTGCCCAATCAACATCAGCCATGGTCTATCTACTTTTGGATGAAGGCCTCCCAAAAGCCTGTCACCACCCCCCATGATCCTGGGATGCCACAATCCATCTTTCTCCACAACATTAGACGACCCCCATTGTTCTATCTCCCCTGGTGGTCGGCCTCTTGAATGCATTCTCTCCTTTAAGCTGCCATTCTGTCGCCATGCTTGTCCGTTTTTTGTTTTACCCACCCCTTCAGGTGTATGTTGAACATCTTTTATACCGTACGTAGCCGACCGCGCTAATCGGAGGTGTGGGGAAGCGACAACAAACAAAACTACAAAAAGGCAGTTCTAAGGAAATGAGTTTTTAACTTATATCTATCTAAAAGCGTAAAGCTCCAGTGGCCTCCTAATATCGGAAAGAAGAGCATTTCAGATGAGCGCAGAAGCGCTTCTGAAAGCGAGCGATGCAGTGACCGTCTTTGTTCGATGGCTAGACAAAAGCTGCTGCGAGGATGACCGAAGTTTGCGTGATGGTGGTTTATGCTCCTTGACGAGCTCCGCTAGGTATCGTGGTTCATTTGTGGCAAGCGCTTTGTGTGTAATGAGTGGTGACCACTTTAAACTTTTGTAATGTACCAGAGATGTTATGTCGCTTCAATAAGGCACATACTAATTTCAGTCATAATAATAATGTAGGTCAATGGGCTTCTACCTCCCTTTCAACATTCATTTTCAGTGGGGCGCCAAAGTATATTGTTTGCCAAGTCGGTGAGCGACAGCCCGCCTGACCTTCGCCCCCAGAGTCCTACCTATGCTCGGTACATTCACACTGACATTTGCGCAAGCGTGGTTAGAGACGCAATCGCGGGGAGATTCGAGATGTCATCCAAAAACACGTGACCTTGTGTTGATCACCGTCGGTGATAGCCGGCATGGAATGGGGGCACACAAGAGGCACGCATTGAGAGAGTGGAAGGTGCTTACGTGGGCTGAGGCTTCGGATCGGTGACGGGCTCCGACTGCGCATGCTCTGTGTGTGGGGAAACACGTCCGCACAGCCCCTGTCAGCACGCACGGCGAACCTCCCATTGACACGTAACGCACAGCCCTTTGACCATACTTCACCACGCTGGTCAGTACAATTTGGTTCCGGGGGGGGGGAGGTGGGGGGGCTTAGGACCGGTACCAATATAACTCGCCACTGATGTTGGCCGTGGCCGGCAATTGAACTCCGGTTGCCGGGTTCGTGGAGCATTGCGCTAACGAGTGTGCCACCACTCCACCAAATTATTCTGAGCAGAAAACAAGCTAGCAAGCCAGTGTAGTCGGGGAGCCTCCACGCTGTAAGGGGGAATTTCGCTGAACAGACGTCAAGGTAAAGAGCAAAAGTGTAGCCATACATTCGCTCACGCCATCTAGAGGGTGTGTGTGTGTATATAGTCGACTCTTCCACTCTGGCCAGGCCTCTTGTTAGAGGTGCGAGTAGCTACATTTTTACACCGTCACACGCGACTTGCCGATCGAGTCACTGTGGTTTTCCCATTTATACCCCGGGTTGGACAGGGGTCGGGGGGGAGATCGATCTAATTATATGTAAGACCAGCGCGCGCTAGTCATTACACCACGTTAGTTAGCATCCTTCAATGTCTTCGTACATCGAGATATGCAAAAGAGGAGCGTATGCCGGTATATCGCCATACCCGGTGCGGACTCAGGGAGTGCGAGCGGACCGGGCTCGTGTTCCTGCTGCGGGAGCGTCGGCCAGAGCTCTGCGGAGCAAAGTGAGAGAGAAATCCATCGAGGGAACGGAACAACCCAAAGGGAGACCTCTGTCTCCGCACGGCGAGCGCGGAGCAGCAGCAGCGGCGGCGGTGGCGGCGTTGGCGGAGCGCCGTGCGCCCGCTACCCACCAGTGCACCGCGGCGTGTCACCACCTCCCCCTTGGCCGCGACGTTGCCCCCTTCCGTGAGCGCGGGCCACACGTGGCAGGCCACCAGCGGCGCCGAGAACTCCGAGTCATAGCTGCGCCGGTACCTGCGGGGGAAAGGAGGGGAACGGCAACGCTTGTACGTACGTACGTATGTTGAACTTCTTTCGCACCGTACGTAGCCGACCGTGCTAACAACGAAGCTTACGGCAGACCTCGCTGCTGCTGTTCTAAGAGGTGGGGGGTGGACTCAGAGGTGTTTGGGTTTCCGTCAACGTTCTGGACCGGTTTAGATTTTACTTGCCACTGCTGTGGTCGGGAACCGAACTCTGGGTTCTGGATTCATAAAATGCTGCACGAGCCTCTACATCACTGCAACACCGCTCCCCCTTCATTTGGTCAATAGCATTCTCGACATAAAGTGATCGGGACCACCCAAGTTGTCACTCATTCTGTTTAGCATTATACGTTGGTTCATAGTTTAACATTGACTTTGTTGTGCCTCCCCTGCCTACTCGAACTTTGTATGTCACCCCACGGTGGCGGGATGTTAACTACCTCGCCTGGTGTGCAGGCGCTCGTGGGTCCGATCCCGACCCTGACGCCTGCTGCTGCTGGATGTTTGGAGTTCGCGGTGTCTCTCTCCCCGTGGTTGTGTGAACATTTCTCCGGCTTCTCCGGGGTTTCCATGCACATTTTAGAATCGACATCACCCATTTGGATTAATTTGGCTGCTATAAATGTCCACACGATAAGCCACTTTGTTGAGTTATCACTTGTGATGGCCAGGTCGCTTCTCGACAAAAGGGCTACATAGCTCAAGTCGGGCCCTTAACTGGTAAAATAAAAAGTAGTTTAGTTTCAGTTTAGGTGCGCGCCTGAAATCCAGAGCCGTTTTGGGAGAGGCAAGGGTTGGTGGGTCACGCAGAGATTTTGTGGAACTCAAAACAAACGGCGGGGGGGGGGGTGTGGGGGGCTGCTGGGAGACTCCAGTAGGGTAGCAAGTGGGTTTGTGTACCCATCTGTGTCATCTGTGTGGACCCTTGAGTATGTGTACACCCTGGTATCACTGCTGGGTTTTCTCTCATTCTGATAGCCTACAAAGTTTTAGTAAATAATAAAATATCATCATTGTGGGTAAAGGACCACATGGAATAACTGTTAGCAAGGTATCACAAGCAGGCTGTCGCCGAAAAGCGCATTTCGTTTCGGGCTTTGCAGAATAAACATGAATCTTGATTTGAAGCTTTCGTGACTGCAGGAATCCATACTCTTTTGTTCTTTCGGTAAAGTCACGTAGGTAGAATTTCTACCTACGTGACTTTACCGAAAGAATAAACTCGATTTAAAGCTTTTGTGACTGCAGGGATTCATCTTCTTGGTCCTTTCGGTAAAGTCACGTAGAAGGGAAATAATAAAATAATATTGTGTTTCATTTTTATTATTTTATTATTGTCCTTCTACGTGACTTTACCGAAAGAACCTAGAAGATCAATTTGTCGTTGCATTGAGCTCTATTTAAATCGTAAACGTACACAATACTGGCTTTGTAACGTTTCCCATCTGTGCCATCTGCGCGAACCCTTGAGTTCAAAAGAGTACTGTGGCTCCGACGCGGTGGGGGAGAGGGAGAGGGAGGGGGGGGCCGCTCACTTGCGCTCGTTGTAGAGCTCCCCCTCGACGGCGAGCGCCACGTCCAGCGTCGGCTCCAGCGCCTGCATCTCGAAGGCGACGCGGCACACCTCGCGCACGAAGCCCGCCAGCAGCGCAAACTCCACCTCAGGCGGGAAGGAGATGCGCGGGTCGGCGTGCAGCTCCCGAATGACGTCCTAGCCGCGCGCGGGGAGAACGCGGAAGGGCAAAACGGCCAGAGGAGAATTTAATGGGATGGGGGGCGGGGGGAATCGCTCTACGCATCTCCGATTTAGCGCGGTTGGCGACGTATGGTGCGAAAGAAGTTCATCGTACATGCCAATTGCATTACAAATCATGCCTTTTCCAATCACACGACTCGTATGTTTATTATTTTTTTAATTGCCAAATATTTTATCGCACTATATTTTATTTATATAAAGTGGTCTCAACGACAAGGACATTCTACATGTGGCATGGTGACATCGTCTGACATGCGAGGCACAATGAGGGGACATTCCCTATGGTCACGACTGCACCTTCGCCATCTAGAAGTCGCCTTTCACGCTGTCTGAATGCAGCAACGCCTCGCCCACCGCGGATTTGCCTACCACGGCCTTTTTCAGAAACCTAACCCCAGCGGTTGGCGAGGAATTGCTGTGCTCTTAAACGAATGACTAGCGGGACAGGCTGCGGCCCTCTGAAAACAGGGCCGCAGCCCTGTCACGGTGCACTCGGGGTGGCGGTGTGGTTTTGCGAGCCGACGTACGGCCACGCTGCTCTGCACGTCATAGAGGTCCAGGTTGCGGACGATGTAGTCCAGCACAGCTTCCTCCATGCTCTCGGGCCCCGCGTGCGTCGACGCGAGCGCCTTGCGTGTGCGCAGACGCAGCTCGCGGAAGGCGGCCTTGGCTGCGCGGAACGACTCCTGTGGATGGGGGGCGGGGGAAACAAAAAAAAGGATTCCTCGTGCAGCCTTGAACAGACTGTTGGGGCAGGCCCTGTTGGCGAGCAGTGCCTATGAAGGCAGGCACGGCGCACGAGGGGGTGGTTTGGACAGCGTCTGGCCACCTTTGTCTCCCCCAGTGCTGATGTTTATGCTCTGCATTGGAAACTCATTAAATAAGTCTTTGTCAACTGACGAGGTGAGGACCAGGGGCGGTTTTACGCCACTGCTAGCCGTGGGAAGGGATCGAACTTGCGTCGCCGGGTTTGTATTGCGGTGCGCTAACCACTTTGCTGCTGCTGCTGCCTGCAACAATGAAGAGTTTGGGGGAGACGTTTTGGTAGTGAATCCAGAATTTGCAAAGCGTGACGGTTACATCGGGAGAGTTGATAGGAATGCACGGAGTTTGTGTTCTCATCTCATGCACACGGGGCTTTGCCTGTGTAAAGTTACCAGACATCTGTTTTCCCAAATTGTACCAGAGCAGGACTGTCTTAAAACTAATTCACGTGATATCTGAAACATCTGACATCACACCAATCATGCAAAAACGGCAAGTGGTACAACTGATGATGACTGATGACAGTGACAACTGACGATGGTGGAGATTCATGGTTCAATCTGCGTCACCTTTTCCTGCATGTACGTACGTAGCCAATAGTGCTCAGCGGAGGTGCGGGGGAAGGACGACAAACTGAACACAAAAAGTAGTTCAAGGGATGAGAGCGGAGGAGGAAGTGGAGGTGGGGGACAGCACGTTTGGCTACCACCAAGGCTAATCACACGTCCGATTTCATCACGGTTGGTCACTTCCGCTGCAACAGAGGTCCAGCACACACGGGACACAGAGCAGTGCACCCACCACGGTGGCGATGAAGATGATGCGCTGCACGGTCTCCATGTCATCGTGGTAGCGCAGCAGCAGGCTCTGCGCGTCCAGCCGGTCGCCCGCGTAGATGGAGTTGAATCGAGCCACGAGGCGGGTTTGGCGCGACGCGTTGGTGAGGCGCGCGCGCGTCGGCGTGCAGCTGCGGATCGGGGAGCAGCTCCGGATGGGCGAGGAGCTCCGGACCGGCGAGGAGCAGCGGATCGGGGACGCGCTGCGGCGAGGCGAAGGGCTGCGGCCACGGCACGGCGTCGAGAGCCATCCCCTGAAGTGGCGGCGACAACAATGGACGGGCACAAAAGGAATGTTTTTGGGTTTTTTTGGTGATGCACAAATTTTGTTGCGTTCCCACCGAGGTAAAAACAAATGCATGCGTGAACTAGTCTTGTCCGTTCGTTAGCTTCTTCGCTAACTAAGGGCACTATAATGCTCAGGTCGATGATCTAGTGTGAACCAAATTGTTGCTTTTAGTGACTTACCCATTTGAAAACCACCCATATTGATGAAAGTTTTGCCCAAAAACTTGAAGCCAAGATCCAGAGTAAACAGGACTATTTGAAAAGAATACAATCCCGTTTGTCTCTAACAGCTAACCACTATGAAATTCTTCGAAGGGCAGCCCCATTTCAGAAAGCATTACGTAATCCATACATTTTCTAATTTTCTGCAAATGGCATTTCTCTTTTGTGCGAATTTAATTTCATCGCATTTTTTTTGGTGCTTGGGTCAGAACACGTGAGGACATTTGAAGGCGCTGTCTGGCCAAGGCATCAATTTAAATCCCGGTGGACGCGGCCTGTCACTCGGTAAAGCGAGGGGCACTGTACGAGAATAACACCACCAATGGTTGCCCCTTTTGGGCAGAATTTTACCCCACAATGGCAAGACGGAATGTCCACCACCGGGGGTGATTAATGTCGCCCCATTGCTCGTTATCTCGCAGGGAGACAATTTCACTTTGGTCATGACATTTATTATTTTGATGCAGCTTTTTGTTTTTTTTAAACGAGGCTATGCACGTGAATTGTCACACTTAGTCCACCCAATACTCCCACGTGCCTTTCTTGCCTCCATCAACATTCGGTTATCACACCCCCACCTAATTTTTTTAAAGGATTATGGGTTCAACGCATTGACCTAAAGTGATAGGGAATTGCTGGGAAGCAGCTGGTGTTCAGCACTGAACGATAGCAAACACCTGGAGCTCTACAACTGTGAATCAACGGGCAGCTTTGTACTTTGTACCAAAGTGTTAAAACGTTTTGTTTTAATCTGACTCCTGTGAACATGACCAACAGTGGGGGCAGAGCGTGAGGAGAGAGAGAGAGAACGGGGAGCGCGCTGCACGTACGACATGCGCTCCAGCAGGCGCGCCTTCTCCTGCTGCAGCGTCGCCATCTCGGCCTGCAGGTACCGCGCCTGCCTCTCGCTGTCCTCGCGCTCGCGCCGGTTCACCTCGGCCTCCTCGCGCGCCGCTTGCAGGCTGACGCACGCACACGCACACACGCACACACGTCCACGGTAAAAGATGATAGTTAATTGTTTACCCTGGAAATTTGGGGTGTGGCCACACTTTGGATATTCGGGTTGTCCTCCTAGCAAATGTTTCCAAGGGATTATTGCTTCGAGATGCAGTGACCCATAATTAGCTAATTATATAATTAAATACTGGTGCCACGCTTATACGTAGTGCTGACAAACTTTAACTACCATATATCATGTTTGTATTACATCTATTCAGCCACTGGCTACTGACTCAGTACTGAGCCTCATGTGTGTGCCCTCTGTGTTCATTGGTTTCAATGGTTCCATCGTCTGCATAATCAGGATTTTGTCTCCTTGTTGAAAGGAGAAAAACGTGAACTCAAAGGTACCCCGATTTTTGTCAAAGATATATCGCCGGTGTATCTTGGCCGTAGCAAAAAATGCCGAGGGTATCCAGATACCCATGATATCTAGCATATATTTTTCTGTCGGAAACCCTGGACCTGTGCATGTGTTAACAGTGGATGTGATTGAGAGTTCAGTGTTTTGAGTGAGCATTTGGTCCAGACGAAGCCTCCAGTGACCAACAGAGCCGCATTTTCCCGTCCGTCAGTGTGAGCCGAGAGATCCTTACTCGGCCCTCAGCTGAAGGATCTCCTCCTCAGTAGCCAGGAGGGTGGTAGCCGACTTGGTCTTTGCATCTTCGAGGTCATAGGTCGTCTCTTGCAATCTAGAGGAAATCGAGCGATGCTTCCGTCAAAAGGTGAATGATTTAATTTGCCATGCAACTTGAGTCTCCTCTTGTTCAGTTACGACTCCACAATGTTACGTTTAGATTTGTTTGACCAACGTCCATTATTCACAATTCGTTAGCCGTGTGCCGAAGTATTGATCTGCCGATTAATGTCGATTCTTAAAGGATCGCGATACGGGCATTGAATAATGGGTATAAAAAATATGTTTGTTTAATTCGTGACAATTTTATGGCATGTATGTGCCCATGCTCAAGGTACGTTATGGATTAAACACATTTGGACAAATTTAACAGTAAAACACAGTTGACGAATACTTTGTTATATATTTTATTAACTGTATTTAAATCTACATGGCATGTACCATAAAACCTGAACACATTTGAATTGTTTTACATAAAGGCGACAACCAGTGAGACACGTGCCTAAATGAGGGCAATAACACTCAAACGTCCACACAGATGGGTTCACAAACCCACTCACTGTCCTGCTGTGTTTCTGGCCATATTACAGCCCCCCGTGGGTTTTGAGAGTTTTTTTAAACCTGTGTGTGATCTACCAACCAGTGTTGTTATTTTTTTAACAAAGTTAGTGACGAAAATATTCGTAAACAGTGTTTCTTTTTTAGTTCAACGAATGACCGAGTGGACGAAAATCATCATAAAGACGCAGGCTATAAAGTAATTTCGTAATGTTATTAGATATATTCACTTACGACCGATTGACTAGTGATTATTAACCCTTTCCCATCCCAAAGACATACGTGTACGGAAGAAAAAATAAAATAACTTTATCCGTATGTCAGGTCGTAAGACGTGCCGGGCTCTCACAAGGCCACGTGGGAGGGCATGGCGCAGTTTGGCGCCAGTTACCATAGTGCGGTCGTGTCGCTACACTTCTCTGAACTTCTCTGCGGGGTGGGTACAGTGTCTTTAAAAACAACGGTGCTACGCCACTCTAAATAAAACTAACGCCGAGCCGCTTGCACGTTCCGAGATTCAGCGGTGAACGGGACCCCCCCCCCTACAACTTGCAGACGTCTCGGAACGGGAAAGGGTTAACACTGCCGCCAACCCTGGCACACAAATCACGGTGCATGCGCCACCACGCCCCGGATGGCGCGGAGCGGCAGCTCACCGGTGCTTGACGTTGCTCAGCGCCTGGTGCGTGGTCTGCAGCTCCGACTCCAGTGAGCCGACCTCCCGCATGTGGCGCGTACTCAGGTCTTGCAGCTGTCGCTCCTTCTCTGCCGCCTCCTGAGCACGAGACACCCTCCGGTGGTTAGAGTCGGTGGCTAGGAGATGTTAACTCCCTCGCCTGGTATGCAGGAGGTCGTGGGTTCGATCCTGACCCTGACGCCTGCTGTATATTTGTAGTTTATGGCGTCTCTCTCTCTCTCTCATCATCATCACGGTGGCTAGGAGATGTTAACTACCTCGTCTGGTATGCAGGAGGTCGTGGGTTCGATCCCGACCCTGACGCCTGCTGTATATTTGGAGTTTGCGTGTCTCTCTCTCTCATCATCATCACGGTGGCTAGGAGATGTTAACTCCCTCGCTTGGTATGCAGGAGGTCGTGGGTTCGATCTCGACCCGACACCTGTATATCTGGAGCTGCATTTTCTGCTCATGGTCGCGTGGATTTTTCTCCGAGTCCGCTGGGTTTTCCCTCCACATTTATAGACAAGTGTTTTGAGTATTTGGTTGTGACAACATTTCTACGTGACAAGCCACTTCACTGAGCTATCATTTGTGGCCAGGTCGCTTCTGAAAAAGAGCTACAAAGCTCTGTGCACCTTACCTGGTAAAATGAAGAGTTTCAAATAGTAAAAATTTAATTGTTCGAACATATTGTAATCACGCCATTCTTGTAGCATGCTGCTGTCCTGAAGGCGCTAAGTTTTGATAGGTGGGGAGGCAGCAAGCCCTGAAGATTTACCGAGATATGATGCGTCAATTCATAAAATGAATTGTGCGTATACGAATCAACTGTTTACAATCTATGCAAATTGTATGCAAATGTAACTAATGTTAGGCGAATGCTGCGAGCGCTGGAAAAACGATGCAGAATTTGAAACCACAAACAAAATGGTGAAAAGGAAACAATAATTTTCTAATTGAATCAAATAATGACCCCAAAACGTGGCGTGGCATTGCCATGATGCCCCATGTGACCTCATCCACCCAATAACAGTGAAGTTGCATTTGCAACAATTTCTAAAGTATTTCAAACAAAGTTGCAAACCCACATGAAACTTGTTACCCCAGTAATTCAGCCCTTGTTGAAGTCAACTACGTGGCCCACAACGCCACGCTTAGTAAACATATGACAGGGAGGTTGCACCATATTTACCCTCCCCTGCCATTCATTCTTTAGCTCATTCACAATCACCCCCAGCTGTGTTCACGGCTGTGTGGTGTCGACAGCTGACAGGGCCCGTTACCCGGATGAGGGTGAGGCTGGTGTCGGGCGACACACACGGGGAGACGGTGAAGCTGCTGCTCAGCCACGGCAGGAAGCGGGACTTGATGGTTTCCGCGCCAGCTGTAGGCCCACCTAGGGGAGAGATCCACGCAGCACGGTCACGAATATTCCGTGTTGACGTCTTGGCAGCTCTGTAGCATTGGAGGAGGGGGGGAGGGATTATACCCCACGCTGAAATCTAAACCATGCCCTCTCCCCCCTTCTTGAATTCTAATAGTCAAGTATGAAGTGGTTGGCCTCGGAGAGAGAGGCTCAGTGTTGTCGCCACACTGTTCTGCATGGAGGTGGGACCACCACAAGCTGGGATCCAACATGCTCTGCGACTTGTCTGCTGGCAGTGTACATGTGTGCACTATGTACACAGTGTGTGTGGCTGGCTAACCGTTGATAGGTTCTGCCGATGTACAGACGACAATGGTGCATGCGCTGACGACTTGGCCATGCCTGTTCCTCTCACCACAGTTCATCTTACTAGTGTCACCAAATCTCAACTTACACCGTCGATTGAATAAAGAAACATTGAGCAAAGTGTAATTTTAAAAAATCCATTGTTTGAATCAATAAGTGAATTATGGCCGGGATATCTTAATTTATATATGCCGAGGTGGGTGCTCGCGATGGCAGTGGGCGGTGGCTGCGTGCTCGTTGACTCTTGAGTAACGTACCCCTGTTGGCCGTGCTGCTCATGATGTTAAACAGCTGGTTTTGCACCTTCGAAGTCATCTCGATGAGCTCACAGCAGCGGCTCAGGTTCTCGTTGCAGGTGTTCAGCTGCACGCACAGCGCACACACACAGCGCATCGGGCACGCCGGGTCACATCATTGGGCACGGCACCCCAGGTCATCCTGCTGCGTGACTGCCAGAGGTCGCAACCGGGTACCCGATACCCGTACCCTACCCGATACCCGGCTACCGGGTACGGGTACCCGTTTGCGACCCTGGTGCGGCCGGGTACGGGTAGGCCGTGAGTCACTGGTGAGTATCTGTTTTTCACTCATTTCCCAACGTCTTGTCTCTTCTCACAATTCAAGTTCCTAGAATCAATCCACCCGTGCCTGCAACATGGCTTCATCTCAGAGGTTGCAATCAGGTACCCGATACCCGTACCCTACCCGTATCCGGCCGGGTACGGGTAGGGTACGGGTACGGCCGGGTACGGGTACCTGTTTGCGACCCTGGTGCGGCCGGGTACGGGTAAGGAATCAAAACCCGTTTGCGACCTCTGGTGACTGCCGCTCGCTGCTCGGCACCAAGACGCACACAACGCTTGCTCTGGTTTTATTCCGAGGTGTAAGTCAGCAAGGGTTTGACGGGGCCGCTAGGCAACCAGGCATTTGCTCGGCGTGCCAGATCTGGAGTTGAGCACGGCTTGTTTTAAACCTTTTTGTTACAATTGGCCGTTGGCGAATTGAAGTCGCGTGGAGTAAAAACTGGCTGAATGCCCGGAAGGACTTAGCAAGCACATACCCAAGTTAACTGGTGCTCCAGTCCAAGCTGTAAGTCAGTGAAATGTGTTTTGCATTTAGACAACCCTGTGTGCTATATTTCGATTTAAAGCTTTCGTGAAAGAACCAAGAAGATGAACCCTGTGTGCGTATTTGCCATATATGCAGTAAATGTAACCAAACACACACCACGTCTCTCATTAACACTGCCTGATAACGTAAATTTGTCATATTCTGCTCGGTTCCTTTCACAGCTCCAGGCATGCGGCATCCCCGTGCCTCGGCGCCACGGTGGAAAGGGAGGGAGCGAGGATCGTCGTCAGCCGCCACTTTAAAAACACTCCGCAAACTGGCAACGACCTTCGAACTTAAATTTGCAATTAGCAACGTGCCCATGAAGTGGAAACGCCAGGTTATTTATTTACTTATTTTTGTCGCGGCTTGGCGATGAGTGGATGGTTTGGGTCTAGTTGGTGCTGGACAGCTTGCCGTTTGGTGTTTTTGTGGTTGGTGGGCAGTGAAGGTGGGTTGGTGATGTGTAGGTGGCTAGGTTATGTTTGGCGGTGGATGGGTTGGTGGTGGATTGCTGCGATTACTGTAGGTGAGTAGGTCGGTTGTTGTTGCTGGTGGTGCGTTGTTGGTTTTTTTGCCTGAGAGGTGGTGGTGTGTGCTGGTTAGTGGATGGCTAGGTGTGTACGTTTAGTGGGTGGGAGAGCGGGTTGATGGATCTCTTGGTTTGTATATTGATTTGAAGCTTTCGTGACTGCAGGAATCCATACTCTTTGGTTCTTTCGGTAAAGTCACGTAGGTAGACGAATAATAGATCACCACTCTATTATTTTTCTACCTACGTGACTTTACCGAAATAACCAAAGAGCCTTGGTTTGTCGTTTGGTGGGATATTGCTTGGTTGGGAGGTGGGTGGGTTGATGATGGGTGAGTGGTTTGGTGGCTGGCCGATGGTGGGTTGGAGGCACTGTGTTTGGTGGGTGGGTGGGTTGATGGATGTTGTTAGTTTGTAGCTTGACGGCATATTGCTTGGTTGGTGGGTGGGTCGATGATGGGTGAGTGTGTTGGTTTGGTGGCTGGCTAAGGGGGGGGGGGTGGGTTTGTGGCGCTGTGTGTACAACATCATCTATCAGGACTGGCTGGGGTCGAGAGTGCAGCGTTCCCGCTTGTTGGGACACGCCTGCACTCTGCACACACGCACTCTGCACACACGCACTCTGCACATCACACGCATACACACGCGCGCGCACACACACGCGCACACACACACGCACATACACACGCACACACGCACACATACACACGCGCACATACACACATGCACGCACACACGCACATACACACACATACACACGCACACACACGCACACGTACACACACACGCACACGTACACACACACGCACACATACACACATACACACGCACACGCACACATACACGCATACACGCACACATACACACACGCACACATACACACATATACATACACACATACACGCACGCACACATACACACACATACATATACATACACACATACACGCACGCACACATACACACACACACATACACGCACACATACACACACATACACACACATACACATAAACACACGCACATACATACACACATACACACTCACACATACATACACACATACACACTCACACATACACGCACGGGCTGGCTGGCTGGCTAGGAGGGGAAGGCAGTCGACCCCGCGTGTCCGCACCAGCGCCCCGTGCTGTTGCGGAATGTTTTTATTCTCTTCTGCCAGTAACTCTGGGCAACTAGCGTCCGTAGTGACTTGCCGTGGCAACAGGCGGCCACATCCTTTAAAGTGTAAATAAAGGTGGCCTTTATATATAAAAAAGCAATGCATCGCTGCATTTATATAATCACTTCTTGGTGCTGTTGCCACGGGCTCACGGACCAAACTTTGTGGAATCCCAGCCACGTTTGTCTCCCTCCTGGGAAACCAACTTGAGTTTGTCGCACTGTCGACAAGCAAGTTCGCCACCAACCCTACTTGTCCATCGAGATCAATCGCTGTGATTTCGATTACAATTGTACATTTTAAATCTATACTCTAGAGAGCTTCGTCAATGGTTTAAAGATGTTGCTAAAGTGTATCCTGTTTGGAATGTATTGGATAGTTCTACTTGTATGTGGAATTTCTAACGAGGGGGAAATACATTAATCAATCCCCAATGCACATTGCTTTTTAAACGTAGGTCTGGGCTCATTTGAGATATCGTGTGTAATAAAAGAATAAAAATATAAACAATAAAAATTCTCACGATGTTTCGACTGCAACACAAGCAATCATCATCAGGTGTGAAATCCACAGCAATAATTTTTTTTATTATTTTACTATTTCCCTTCTACGTGACTTTACCGAAAGAACCAAGAATATGAATCTCTGCAGTCACGAAAGCTTTAAATCAAAATATAACGTGTGTAGTTTAATGAGATGTAGCCATAACATTTTAGGAAATTATTAGAAGGGGGTACAATGAACTGGAGTTATTAAAAAAAATACATTGGAGCGAAATCGTGATGGAGAATTTTCTATGACATTTTCACGCGATAATGTTTCAGTAAAAGAGTCATGATGTATAATCAACCCTTGTCACTACTTCAGAATGGTATATGTTTCCTACATATGAATGCATTTCCGACTTAATCAATTGAACAACTGTATATGTAAAAAAAAACCGTAATGCCAGGCTCGAGTTGTTGTGTTTTATGGATTCAGAGTGCAAAGAAACAATACTTAATATATCCCTGCAAAGAGTTTGTCGCAAACAGGTTTTACACGGTCCTATTAGAATTTACTTCGGGCTGTAAAAATCATTGAATGATGTTAATAGGCTATTTGCGAGCTCACAGACAGTGAAGTCTGCACTCTGAACATCGAATATAATTACACATCTCTTATCCATACACGCAAAACACCACGATACGTACACATAAAGTACAACCTCGGAAAAACTATACTGTGGATCTTCACCAATGATCAGGGCCACTGTCCGAAACGTCAACGTGTATTTATATGCACACTTTATATTTATACACAGACTTTATATTTATACACATACTTTATATTTGAAGGCAAACAAAATACCATTGTGCAGTGGAGACATACGCAACATCACAATGCACTTACAGCTGTCACTACAACAGCTGTAAGTATATCAAGTCGCGTTTATTTAGTTTAGCAGGAGAGAGACCAGGATAATCTCATTTGCAAGAAATTTCGACTCGACTTTTGCCATATAAAAGGCATATATATATTCTTTATACAATCAATCACTGCATACATTGGCTGATATTGAGTATGTAAAAAATCGTCGTACTCATAACTGCTATGGAGGTATAGTCTCTAAAATATGGACCCATAGAAGTCATGAGCTGAGAGGGACTTCTCATCCATCACATAATTTTCGAATTAAAGCTTTCGTGACTGCAGGGATTCATCTTCTTTGTTCTTTCGGTAAAGTCACGTAGAAGGGAAGTAATAAAATAATAAAAATAAAACATAACAAGATAAAATAATATATAATAAAATAATATAATAATATTATATATTAAAATAATATAATAATACAATATTTTGTTATGTTTTATTTTTATTATTTTATTACTTCCCTTCTACGTGACTTTACCGAAAGAACCAAGAAGATGAATCCATCACACACACAGCACGACAGTTATAACACATCGCTCTCGCTCGCCGTGCATGCAGTATATATACGCGCGCGTGTGCGCGTGTGTGTGTATAGAGGACACCAAGTCAAGACTCTGAAGATCTCACGTGGTAGTCGTCTTGCCAGGAGTCCAGCCTCTCCTGCAGGGCTCCGTACGCGCCGCTGTTGGCGAGACGTCGCAGTGACTCTGCCATGGCTCGCGTGCTCGTGGTGCTGTCCGCGACTGTGACGGGGATCGCCCTCTCCTCCGGCTTTTCAGCTCTTCCCAACCCAAGGTGGGGGAGGGGGTGGCCTGAGAGAGGGGTGGGTGGGTGGCCGGAGCGTCCTGCCTTGGCCCCCACACGGCCCACCCCGCCCTCGGGACGGGACGGACCCCCCAATCCACCCACCCCACCCCAGCCGCTCGACTCTCCCCCCCCCGTTGTGAAAAGTCGCGGGTCCCTAACCCCCCCCCTCCTCCACCTGTGAAGGAGCCGCGTGGCGTTGCCCCCGTGCGGGTTGGTGATTCGCGCACGTGGTTGGGTGTTTTGGAGGCGCTGTGGAGGTGTTTGGGGTGCTAGGGTGTCACAATTGCTTGGTTTCCAACGTAGACGTTATTGTACTTAGGCGATGTAATGGTAAGTTAAGGCAATGTCTGTTTATTCAATTAGCACTGCTTTTCTGCTGTAGGGAAGCATACTCATTATTGTTTCCGAGTATATATTTCTTTATTTTTCAGTTCGTATTATAGATTGAATAAATACAATATTTTTGGTCCAATGAACAGCAGTAAATAGAAAAAAAACTGATTTGGAAATCAAATAAATGTTGTGTCTCTGTGAACGTGTACTTCGTGTGTGTGTGTTTATATGTACATGTGTGAAAGGAGTGATTTTTCTCATTTCCAGTGGTGGGGATAATTATAATATACGCTCTCACCGACTCACGCTAACCAGCGTGGTGAAGTATGGTCAAACAAACCCCCAAGGCCAACATCATGTGTGGAGGCCTGTACCAATTAACAGATTGGCAAATTAACTGAAAATATCGCAGTTGAACACGTGACATCTTTTGTTGCGTTTGACGTGTTATCGGCACGTTGAAATAAAATACTGCAATGCAGTTTATCTTGGGAAGCTTCACTGAGTTTCAAGTTTGTTTTGTTTCTGGAGGGCCCTACTACACTGACGTTTGGCCAAATTCCATCAATGAGTGTTTGGCTTCTTGTGGCAGGAAACCGGAGAACCTGGAGTAAAACCCACCACCCATAAGAGGGGGTGACACGAAACATTTGCCATCGCTAAGATTTGATAATCCACCGCTGCTTTGCTTTCATCTCCTGGCTACATCGCAGCCAACACGAACCCCACAGCGCCTGGTGTCCCCAAAGCAGTTTCCCAAGTACCGTACTAACCAGGTTCAACCCAGCCATTGGCAATTCAAATGTTGTTATCCAGGCGGGGATAAATGTTATCCCCCAACCGGGGATGAGGACTGAAAGCACATTTCAGGGAGTAAAAAAAAAATCAGTTGCGGAAACTCTCCCATCAAATCGCATGCTACATGCGTGTTGGTATTTGTGTCTTAGGGTATATAAACTGTGTCTATGTGCTGGTTTGTGTATGTAACGTTGTGTGCACGTGCGAGTGTGTCTAAGTAAGTGCTTGCTAAGAGCACTTGCCCCAAGGCTAAACGGGGCCAACACAGAGGCTCGCTATGAGCGTGCGTGCACGTGTGTGTACATGATTTAAAACAGATTGTGTGTATTGCGTGCGCTTTATGTTAAGTATGTGTGTTGCCCTCCGTGTGTGTGTGTAAGTGTGCGTGCGATAGTGGGGAGCGGTAGTGTAGCTGTTCGCGTGCTGCTCTATGAACCCGGCGACATGGGTTCGATTCCTACTGACGGCCAACACCGGTGACAATTATCTGAACCGGTCCTGGGCCTCCCCTAGGTCGACTCAGCCTCAAATGAGTACCTGGTGCTGTGTGTAAACATTGCCACTTCATAGGTGCTCGCTAACAGCACTTGCCCCTACAGTCTGTTAAGGCTATATGGGGGATCTTTGTCTTTGTGCGATAATGTGTGTGCAAGCGTGTGCTTTTGTTTGCGTGTGTGTTGGATGTCATAATCCACGTGCGAGCGTGTCATGGTGATGTACGACGCTACGCATGCGCACACCGGTGGGTGACGGCAAACAAATCAATGGGGTCGTGCGCTTACAATAGCCACCCCCGGGGGGAGCTTCCGCAGATTTCTATTTGAGAGGACTTTGTTGAGACTTGATGGTTGTTGGGAATTCCATTGCATGTCCGGTCAGACTCTTGCACACGCGCAACCGTGTGTACGCAACGCGGTTATAAATACAAGTGCTCCCGTAACCACGGCATATGTGCCTTTGATTTCCACACTGGTGCTAAGTGATTTAATTAATTGGGTATTCTCACAGTGTTCATGTGATCATACTCTTGGAGGGCATCTGCTAGAAGGGGCTTTCTAGAGCTCCCTATAGTGGAGAGCCTTCCACTATCAGTGGGGTGAATAAGAAATTGCAGGGCTGCACCTTTATCTTGTTTTTCTAGTTGTGATGGTGATATTATTACAGAGATTACATACGTGTTAATATTAAAAGTACATACCACCCTCATGGGAAATTATGCACAGTGACTAAATTAAATTGCTAGGGCGCGTTCTCATGACATTAACAGTTGCAATATCCTTTTATCTCTCTGACACCAGCTATAAATCTTGTCTCTATCTCGCCATCTCACTTGGGCTTTATAAATTGAAAGAGGGCCCAGAAAACACAATTTCTGCTTAGGGCTCCCAATGGATGAGTTCCACCACTGATTGCGCTCTCACCTCGCACTTGTAAAATAACGTGTAAATCACCAAATCCCCTTTACTGAAGTTCTGACCAGGCTCTTAAGGGGGCCATCCTGATCCAGACAGAGGAGTCTTTGGAGACCTCGGTCATAAATTGTAAATTTGCATTTGGCCATGGCAGGAGTGGTGGACAATGACGCTTGCCTGCCATTGAGTCGCACAATGGCGATGAGCGGTTCTTTCATTGGTGGGGGGTCTTCTTTGGAAGGAATGTGTCTTGAAACGGTGCAATATACTTTAAACCAAGCCCTATTTAAATGCAAGATGCACAGCAGTTACTTCCAAAAATAGTGCATCTGTGATATGCTGGGATAGTCAATCGGTTTAAAAAACATAATAATTAAATGCGTTTAAACTTTTTTTTTAAACCTAGCATTGTTAAATTTACTTGACATACTATAGATACATTGCAGTCAACTTGTTTATCAAACTATTGGCGCTGAATCAAATATAATGTTCAGATGAGTGAAACACCTTGATTTATGCATTAAAAACTGGAGTTTATTTTTTAAAAAATCTTGATTTTTTTTTTTACTCAACCTCTACATTTCTAAATTCTAGGTCATGGGCCAGCCTTTCATCCCTTTGTTGTCGAATGAGAGGTCAACAGGGGTTATCCCATTGAAAACTGGCACAACGCAAAATGAATGTGGAATTTCCACCACTGGCCTAGGGTTGTGAATGTACATGCTTATTGCCACAATACTGATGCGGGCAAGGATACTCTTGAAGTTTGACGATTGCTCTTCCAAAACCTTTTATACATTTATGTTTATGTCAGGTCACTGGGGCATGATGATGAGGATCATCAAATTATGGTTGTCAAAATAGTGTTTTTGGCATTATAATCACAATTGAATATCGGTTTGCAAAGATCGCCTCCGGATAAATAAGAATAAAACAACGGGGCGAGGTATAACCAGCTCCCTAAACAACTCAAGATAGCTCTTGAAAGTCGACTGGAAAACACATCACTGTATATATCCCATGAACATGCAACGTTTGGGGCCAACGTGAGCATGTGGTTGCAACTGTTGGACCAACGGTGAGCCCGACGTTCCATGTTTACTGGGTAGCTAGGACAGCTGTTGAAAGAGGACATGGGATTTGAATGATTCAATGAAGGCGGACAATAGGGGGTCGGAATGCTGTTAGAAAATTGAACTTGATCATGAACGGCACCACACCGATTTTTAACCCCTTCATAATGTGTACACGCAGGATATCTGCTACCCGCTATGACTCGTAGTTCCGAAACATGGAAATTAACGAAGAACATCTAACGCAAGCTGAAAAGTGCGCAAATAAGCAATGAGAGAGGCATACATGGAAATACAATGAGACGAAAAGCAAACCTGCCAACCCATTATCAGTGCCTGCTTTATTACAGACCAACTCAGACCTTATTGGTCACCCCGTGCCCCTCATAAATCTCAACGTTCCTCCTACAAAGTCCCATCACAAAGGAGAAACACAAACAGACCACTTTTGTTGCCCGTATTGAAACGGCTGAAATGGCTGTAAGCCGTTTGGACCTGAACTCAATTTCCATGTACAAGAATACGGGTAAACCGTATGGGGTGACAGGTATGTAAACTGGACACATGCTGCAGGGCTAAGGGGCCGTCCATAAATGACGTCACGCCATTTTGGACGATTTTTTACCCCCCCCCCCCCCCTCGTCACACGGCGTCACAAAAAGTCAGACCCCCCCTCAAATATGACCATATTTCCATTTTGAAAATAAAACATGCTTCAAACGCTTTAAACTAAAACTATTGTCATTGTAGTGCGTATTTAATGTGGCGCTGCACTCTGATGTTGTAGGAGGAGTGTTATAACAATTCTATATATTTTTTAATTTGCGCATTTTGATGTGACGTCACATTTCTCAACCCCACCCCCTCGTCACATATCGTCACAAAAATCTGACCCCCCCCCCTCCCCAGGTGCGTGACGTCATTTATGGACGGCCTCTAAGAGGGGTTAAACTGGACACGTGTTGTTGGACTAAGAGGGGGTTAAACTGGAGGCTAAAACCTCTCATCTGGCACCGGCGCTCGGACCCAGAATGCTTCACGTTCAACATGGCGTCCGGTCAAGTGAGTGGTGTTGTCAGCGTCCGCGCGAATTTCTCTCCGTCTCTTCCTCCCCCTCGCGTCTCTCTCCCTGTCGCTCTCTCCTTGTCTCTCTCTCCCTGATTCTCATCATCACATCTCGACTTAACTAAAATACGAAAAAAGCGTGCCGCTTTCCAGCCGGGGGGCTCCGTGTCGCCACTGCAGACGGCTGCCTCTCTCTTGCCGCCCGCCTTAAAAGGCACTCGGTGGTGGTGGCGGTGGCCACTTGCTCCGAGGCTATTAATGGGGCAGAGCGAGCCACTGCCCCTCTACAAATAGCCC